TCCAGAATTAAAGATGTGTCGTCTGCATATTGTGAAAGTAAAATAGGTTGTTCAGCTTCGAGTACTTTTAAGCCTTTGATATTCTTGTTATTTCTTAATTTGATTGCCAAAATTTCCGAACAGAGGATAAAAATATAAGGTGATATCGGATCACCTTGTCGGCAACCCCTTTTTATATCAAAGAATTTTGACAGATTCCCCCCCTGATTAATTGCCGAATTAGAGTTTTTTTGAAAAGTTTTTACCCATTTTTTGATACTATGTCCAAAATTAAAGAAATCCAATACTTCATCAATAAATTTCCAGGATACAGAATCAAAAGCTTTTTCAAAATCTATCATGAGTAACATCCCCGGTATATTATTTTCCTCTGTAAATTGCATTATATCATAGATTAACCTGGTGTTTTCCCCAATGTAACGCCCAGAAATAAAACCTGTTTGATCAGTATTAATAAGTTTATCTAAGACTGTTTTTATTCTACCTGCTATTGTTCCAGAAGCTATTTTATATACTATATTTAAAAGAGAAATTGGTCTCCAGTTTTTTAGGAATTGACGTGGCTTATCTCCCTTTGGTAAACAAGTAATTATGCCCTGTTTTTGAGTTACAGATAGTTCACCATTTTCATAACTATTGTTAATAGATCTTACTACAAAAATACCTAACTGTTTCCAAAAGCACTTAAAAAATTTGACTGTGAATCCATCTGAGCCAGGACTTTTATTATTTTTCATCTTATAAAGAGTTTTTGATGCCTCAGTTATAGAGATAGGACCTTCTAAGTTTTCAGATTCTGTAACATTTAACTTTGGAATATCAATATTTTCAAATAGATTGTCTAAGTTAACATCCTCTATAGTATCATCATTATTATACAATTTTTTATAAAAAAAAAATAATTTCGTTCAGAATGTCTACTTGATCAGAAATTAAAGTGCCATTTTCTTTTACTATTCTTGGTATAATTTTGGATGTAAAATTTCTGTTTTCTAAATTAAAAAAATAATTAGTTGGTTTTTCTCCTTCTTCTATCCATTTTGCTTTAGACCTGATTATGCTTCCTTTTAGTTTATGGAGTCGAATACTTTCTAGTTCTCTTTTCTTCCTTTCTAACATTTCCCAATCTATTCTTTCCAAATCTTCAATATTCTTTATCTCATCTTTGAGATTATTTTCACGAATGTTTTTTTTTTTTTCCTGTATGAAGAGTATGATATTGTTTTGCCCCTTATATCCATCAATATTGCCAATAAATTTATTTTTTGACAGCAGTCATGATATATACTGATGCAAATCTCATTAAAGCATAGTATTAGCTAGACATCGATATATCCCATGACTCTATATTAACAGCAAAAGTCAGATACAACTAGTCAATTCAATACCTTTTTCTCGGGCAAATGCTCTGCTCCTTTCTAATACCTTGGGGATCTCTGGGTTGTATCTGGTACCCTCAGGGAAGATCACTAACCATATCTACAAACAGGAAACCACCATTATAGAGATCATCCAAAGTATATCCCTGAAGTTATTTAATTTTTGACCATTGTATATCAATGAATTTCTTAATTGTACAATGTATATGCATGTGACTCACAATTGATCATTTGATTCTCACACTTGACATACTTTAGAAATGCTGAAGGGGAGGTAATTTTTGCTTGCTTCAAATCATGTAGATTAAGGATTTTCATATATACAGTAACTTCCCTTTAATTTCGTTTAGGATGTAACGGTAGCAAAGTTTGGCCAGGACACTGCTGTTGACCGGGTAGCTTAGTAAGTTAGAGCGATAGTATAACAATCAGAAATCCAGGCTTTGAATCCCTGTTCTGCTCAACTATTACAATCAGAACACTTTTTTGTTGATTTTATCTGTATTAATTTTAACAAACATCCCACAGTGTATGGTTTTCTTTTCCAAATTGATTTGTAAGTCGTGTTATAGTCGTGCTGGCAGAACTTGCTTCTAGTACACAGTTACAGGTTTTGTCAGTGGTACAGGAATCTTTGAGTTATTTTGGTATATAACACAGAATATATACAACAATAAAGAAGACATTACTGGTTCTTTTTTATCTTTGATGACTGCAACATCTCTTTTCAATTTCTCTTGATCAAATTTTCCTCCTCGTTTGATGTATATACATCCATGCTAAAACAGAAAAACATGAAAGTTAACTTTCACATACCAAAGTCAAAGTTCTTTCCAAATTGATAAGCAACTAATACGATTTAATAGTAAACATAGTAACCATCTTTCTTTAGGGAACTATCCCTTTTATCATTTCACTTTCTTATTATATCACTCTTTTTAATCTTTTTGGAACTTAAACTGGAATAGGTATTAATTCATAAATAGAGGAGCCCACATTTTTCTTGTTATACCAACCAATTATAACCAGAACAGTTTTTAATAATAGCATTGCAGAGAAATAATAAAATTGATGATGAGAAAAACAAGTTATCCTACAGAAACTATTAAGAATGATCTCCCTTGAGTAGTTATACACTGTAGTGAAAATGAAGGTGATTTTTAATTTGGAATTAGTGATTTGGTGTTCAGTGCTAGGGTCTCAGAACTCTGTATAATGTTTCATGTGATTTGAAGGTATCACAAGTAGTTCCTATGCATTAATATTTTAACCATAAGAAATGAGAAGGTAACATTAAATTTACAGAGAAGACAATTGCAATATAGGCATTTATCAGTATGGATATTGCTGCAAATTATAAATTCCTCTGCTGGCCATGGGCCAGGAATAAAACTAAAACTAATTCAAAATAAACCAATGTAATCTTACTTGTTTAAAGTAGGGACCAAAAAATGGTAAGAACTTCAGTCCGTCCTTCAGGATATATCTTAAATGTCCCAGAGACCCCTGCTTTACAGCCAGAAAGTTTGCCACCGCCCAATCAACTGAAGCGCAATTTCACAACTGACATACACGTATGTTCAAATGAAAATCATGAAATATCCTAATATATACCTGAATAGATATGTAATTGTCCTTGCACTGATAAATATACTACTCTGTACTTTCAAGCTTCTAAACAATATATTTTTATACTGAAATACACCTGTATAAATATATGTGTAGTACAGAACTAGTTCTTCTCTAATTTCTACAAACTTGATGATTGGATCTTTTCTGAAGACAGTTGGACTAGCCATCCAAAACAAGTACAAGTCAACTCAATGGAAGTGTACCATTACATACTGATTCCTTGGTGTTGGCAGTCCATCCCTATCTAACTTACTTATATCAAAGCTACCTTCTTTTGGAGGAGATCTTTACTTGAAGTATTTACCATCGATTTGAATTCCTACTCCAGTTCTATGATTGACCACCTACAGAATTTTGTATCTGTTTACCCAAAAGAGCAAGTTTGATTACAAATACATTAATAGTTTTCTAAATTGATGGTTGCATTTTGTGGGAAGGCTGTAATTATATGTAATGACTGCACATTTACACCATGACCGATACCCCATTATTTTGTGAAAAGTGAAGCTAGACTAGAGTTTATATCTTGAGTAAATCCTATATTTTTATATTGGTTAAAAAAAAGTACTGCTCCTATCATTTCTGATTGAATATATATACAATAAAATGCTTTAAATGATATGGAACATTTACCTGTATTCTGGTGATTGCAAATAAAAATTGCATTTTCTTTCTTTTTCAAAAGATCAGTATCCCCGTATGCTAATAACTGCAAAGGAAACAACATCTGTTCAATTATATATTTTTTTTATTTGTATCAGACATGTGGAACAGTTAATATAACCCATAACAAAAGGACTAGATCTTTTTATTAACTTATTAAGTTAACTTAAACTTAAACTGTTTGCTTTCTCAGTCCGAGTTGAATTTTTACTGGAAATGTACATTGATTTTTCAATTCTCTTCATATCTGGTTTTTCCAATGACCTATTCAAAAATGTGACATCACATTTACACATAAAAATCTCTGAAATAGCTAAATCAAAGGAAGAATATAGTTTTATGGTATTGGGGTGTTATAAAGTGTTCCACTTTTCTCATGAATGATATAAGAACATTTGATAGAACACCTTAGTTTATGTTGTTCCAAGTTGTTTGACTAGAATTGTTTGCCTTTGAAATTGAATTTGGTTAAGTGGACTGGTCTCTTAAATTATTTTCTGGCAAGCCTAGTCCTTGATAAATCTTTGACCACAAATATGTCTGATACCACCTACTGCGGGTATCTTTTGTTGGGTGCCAAATGTAACAGGAAACGAGAAATGCATGATTAGACCAGGATTCGAACCTAGGACTTTCAGAACTCTAGATGGACGCTCTACCAACTGAGTATCTGATTGCCAGTGACTGACCTAGTCCAGTTCTGGTACACATGATTGATGGAAACCAGCTATGTTTTAACATGATTTTTTTTCTCTTTTTTCACATTAAAAATCTTTACACTAATTGTAAATAATGGAAATGGAGATGTACCATCACCCTGGGACTAGTGGTTTATATATTTTGACAAATCATGCACCTGTCTGGATCTTGTATGCCCTGGGTTCAAATCCTGGTTAAGACTGGTATTTTCCCCTTTCCCGTTACACCTCTACCATGTGAGCTAAATGTATCTAATCACTAACGCTCAACCAATTCCAGATCCGCTATCTTTACATTATTAAATGTAAATAACATAAATATTTTCATTTGTTAACGTTTTAAATTAAACTTGTTACCATAAATGAGGTCATACAAATGTTACACAGGAGAAAACAGTAAGAGAATATGTTTAATACAAGAAGCACACTCATTTAAAATGTAAATGCAATACTTATTATTTTAAATGTGAACACATTAAGGTATTTCATACAGGCTCATGTCAGTGTATATGTGATGGGCTCATAACTTTTTCTCAAAATGAACAAAATATGGAAGTTACTTGGTATACCCATGTCAAGAACAATGTCCATAATGACCATTGCAGAAATTATTTGTCAAAATTAGTGTTGATTTTGTCTGAAAAGTAACTTTTGAATGCAGATTTTGAGTGGCACAAAATTGTAATGAATAATGAAATTAATGAAAAAAATATATACTTGTACATGTATGCGTTCCTTCGGTATCCATGTATTCACTTTTATGAAGAAAATGTGAAAAAAATGTGTCAAATCACTAGAATAATGGCATTTATTTCCACTGAATAAATCACAACTGAGCACAAAGCTAACAAGGCTGACTGAGGTTGGAAAAAAGCATGCAAAGCAAGCGATATTTACCTGTACGACATTCAAACCACTACAGGTTTCTCACTCAGGTAATCTGGCTTGACTTGTATCAATAGGCGTGTTAGCTTCATTATTGTAAAACATCCAATGAAAATACAAACAATCATTCTGGAGATTTCAGGAATGCATATATATACAGGTAAGTTTTTTTCATTTATTATAATATTCAATGCAATTTTGCGCGACTCAAATTCTGCACTCAAAAGTTACTTTTCAGACAAAATCAACAAAATTCTGACAAATAATTTCTGCAAAGGACTAGGTCATTATGGACATTGTTCTTGAGATGGGTAAACCAAGCAACTTCCATATTTTGATCATTTTGAGGAAAAGGTATGAGCCCATCACATACTATATACACTGACATGAGCCTGCATGAAATACCTTAAACACGTTAACACATTTGCATCAGCTCCATACCATACCTCGACCCCCGATACATGGTAGAAGAAGAATATCACCATTCTCTGATAAATAGTGTACAGATAATCGTCGCCCGTTCGGTAGCATTTGCGAGGAAGGATGCTCGTGACAAGACGTATCCCTCCCCACAGTCCAAGGAAGAATGGAGCTGATCCAACCATCACAACGGCTGGAATAGCCCATCGTATCGAATGCAAGTGGACTATAATTGACAACATTCTGAAACCGGAAACATGTGCAAATTTAACGGAAGTAATCATTAGAGATAGTTGCGCATGTCATGACGTCATAATGAGGGCGGGATTTATGGAGTCAGCTGCTGTATGTTAACAAAAACATGAGACCATTAACCGAGGAGACGAAAACGGTACACTGATGTAATGTGACAATACAACAGGGACAGGTAATAACTCACATTTTTTCTTGATTTACAAATACTGTGACATTCATAGGCGGTTATATACTTCTTTTGATGTGTTTGTTTGTCTTTACTCGAGAGTTTCGGCAAGGGTGTTGCTAAGAGGGGTTACGCCTACTAACATATCGTTATCCAACTTGAAATCAATAAAAATCACTTATATGAAGACATTGTGTTTATTTCCATTGTATGATTCATTAATCTAATCATTGCTTATTCACTCCTTTGTTGTTCATATCTTTATATTTAATTTATTATATACATGAACACCAATCAAGATTTAGAACATCTCGTTCAATTGATTCTTGCCTCATCCATCTTGTAGATTATGTCATACAGGCATGGCACTGTTAGATTTGCCAAAAGGTTTCGATACAGTTGACCATGATATTCTTTAAAACAAAATTGAAATGTATGGGTATTTAGTCAATCGCATGGTTTAAATCTTATCTCACGCAAAGGGAAACAACATGTTCAAGTTAACAAAACAAATTAAGATGATTTTTGTTAACATTTATATGTAAATGACATGAAAAATAAGTATCGATTCAGAGTGCAAACTCATACTATATGCAGATGATAGTGCTATCATTTTTCACACAGAGACCCAAAAATAATATTAAACAAATTATCTAAAACACTCGAATATCCTGGCACATGTAACTGGCTTATACTTGTAGATAATACACTTTCGCATCGTCTTGGGAAAACAGAAAGTGTCCTATTTGGTCACAAAAGAAAATGAGACTACACAATCTGTCAGTAGCCATTTTCCTAAGTTTGTTATTGTATATTGAGCTTTTCATCATGAAATTATCTGAGATTTGTTGGATTTAGTGAATGGTTGCAAAAAGGCAATTGTTAATTATAAATTAATTATATATTTTTTTTTCGGCTTTCTGTGACATTTGTAATGCAATATATTTGTTATCAGCATTTCAATTATAAGATATGTTTTTATGTTCTACTTTTTAGACATTTTCTAGTTCATGTACGGGGCCTTCCATGTACATTTGTATATAGGTGAAATAAAACTAAAACTGCTCTTCCAGATATCAGACTCAGTTCAGCGGTGCCATGCTCTTAATTTTCGACATTGGTTTTTAGTGTTAAAGGTTCAATATGAAAAAGCACAAAGAAAGGAGGCATTCCAAGAGCAAGAAAGACTCGCCGAAAGACGAGAAGGGAGACGCTGGCGCGATGAGCCTTCTTCGTCGTCTCGGCAACCAAAACCAAACTATTCTTAAAAGCAGACATGTAAGTACGCAGTAATAAGTCATTTATATAATTTATAAAGAATTTTTTAGCAGAATGTTTCCACCTTTTTTTAAAACTTTTTTTATTCACACAAATGCATGCATTCTTCAATAAATATTCAATACTATACGTTACAAAAACTTTATACTTCTGAAAATAAATCGGATCAGAGCAAGTTTAACTATTGTAATCTGAAACATTTGTTTAGCTATTGTATGTTCACATTGCCTTGTTTGTTCAACTACAGAGTCTTATAGATCCAGATGAAGCCATTGAGCAACGACAATCACAGGTCAACGCCACAAATACAGCTGACGATTCACTGGACATAGGATCGTCTGATACTCCTGATAGTTAGTACTATATGTATGCGCATACTCTAAACGAAATAAAAACAGGCACGTGGTTCTGAAAAAAGCTAGCTGAGTGTCAGTAAGGCAGTGATTCCTACTCATATTCCTTAGTTGCTACATGACGTTAGATATAAGGTGTTGCGAAAAAAATGAATCTGTTCAAAAGAGAGAACATCAACGAAAATGTATTAGCCTATAGTTTAGATATCAACCCGTATGGTTCGTCTTCCCTATTCTTAATAATGAGCCCGGAAGTTTGATATACATGGCCTCGAGTAGATGTTTGAATACCTGATATGCATGTGCTTATTTACAGTGTCTGGATCTGAAGTGAAACCTGATTGGTACGAAGACCTCACAGACGACCACACGTCCGCCTTCAAGGAAGTAAGTGAAATGATAAAATAATACACCTTGTTTCATCTTTGAGTTTTCCGGGTTATATGAAGATGTGTCACCACGAGTTCTTAGAAGCTCCAATAGACGACAACAATAGCCAAACGTATGTTGTTTATTGTTCTATTTCGGTATGATAAAGTGTTTATTGCACTTGTAGCAGGTACAAAATAAGTTTTGTGTTCTTTGTTTTTTCCCGGTTAATTGTGCTTCACTGGGCTCCCCTCCCCCTCTCGGTATATAATCATTTTGAGATGATAAGGAATAAATATCGGGGAACAAAGTGTAATGTTTCCCTACCACAAAGAAAATACATATATATATTGTATTGTAACATCTGTCTGCTTTCCTGGGGGCAGCTCTGGTGTTATGTTTGCCTACACACATAGAAGTCCTCTGTAATATAAAGATACTAATTAGTCAAATTAGCACGACATGTAGAGTCCCGTCTCTGTTGTATAGATAACAAAGAATAGTTCCTCTTTTTTTCCCTTTTCTGACTTTGCCTACTTACTATAATAAGGAATGATATTCATCTGTATTATTGTATTTCTAATGGTATCATCAATACAATATTTTGAAGTTAATTGAATGATAAACAGAAGGAATGTATTCATTATAATGTCCTATTTCACTATAGCATCTCCGCCTCAGTGATTTTGATCTCTGGACATCTTTAAAGCAGATAACTTATTCACTGCGCTAACGGTCGTAATGCTCTGCAACATAATTGGGGATGGTTTGAAAACTTATTACTCCCTTAAAGGGCATGCCGTTCATGAATAAAGAAGAAATACAATGTAATATAAATGAACAAGAAGATAACTTTTAAATGCCTGTACACAGCGAAAATGCATGGCCACCGTATACACTATATATATATACACATCTACATTAACATAGGATGTTTCCCACGTAGCGAAAGACTTCTTATATCATTTTATGTAACGTTTTTCTCCTGCATTATCATTTATCCTCTTTTACGACATGCTGTCACGGCTTTGTTTGTTCTTTCTTCAAACTACTAAGTTCGAGGGAAGCATCATGCAGTTTTGAACAAAAACACTCCATTTTAATCACGACACACCTCCAGGTAATTATTTTTCATTCCAGTTGTTCGATATGCTTGACGCTTCAAAAACGGGTTTATTGAATGCCAATAGTCTGTATGAGGGCTTAAAGAGAGTGGACAGTGAAATCACAAAAGAAGAAGTGGAGAACGTATTGAAGAAACTTGATAAGGATGGCAATGGCGAGATCGACTTCGATGAGTTTCTGTTTCACATGACACAGGGCGATCTCTTGGGAGGCGAGTCTGATGATGGTAGGTGACTGTAGTTCGATCAACTTTTTTGTTTTATACAATCATAAATCTTTATCAGGGTTTATATGAGGATGAATTACCTGCCAAGATTGTTGAAATATTATCTTCCTCAGACGGCTAATTTAACTACCACTAACGGTTGAAACTGGTATATAACTACGATATGGAAACCTGTATGTTGATCAGATCAGTTAACAATTATTGAACGATTGGCGTTTGTCGCCCAACGGAAATGCAAACTATAGAACACGCGACCTTGTTCCCACAAGAATGGCTATTCCTTCATTTGGTGAAACAGTGTCGGTTTAGTATGTATTGGAAAAAAGGGAAAAAACATCATAGCATGACCATGTTTAATTTTATTTGTTTGTTTTGAACTTAAAATACAAGGATTGAAGTACATCTTTTTAACTATAATATTGTAATATTGAATAGCTAGCTTGTCGGCAGTATTTCCCCTCATATTCCTTGGCTGTTACTTGGTTTGCGATTTGGTGCCTTTGAAACATAGCTATAAGATGTGCTGCTTCAAACACTAATTACCATTGGTCAAGTGTTGCGAGTTTTGTATTTGTACTCTCCCGCCTATATCCTTTCTGTCATCCTCTTTTATCTTCAGATAATGACAAGAAGAAAGGGAGGAAATTCTCGAAGCGACAGAGATTGTTTTACACAGCAATAACCGAGTTCTCAAAGAAAACAACTCTGGGGGACATTGAGAGATCGTATTTGGCTCGTATGCGCCAGGCACCCCATGTCCTTAGTCATTATACTGCGGGTGTGCGCCTTATAGGATTAACAGATCGCCAGCTCACACGCCAGTTTAAAAAGATGCAGAAAACTGCCAAAAATATAAACTCGCCTTATGCTAAACCGTTGCCATTCGTTTCACAAAGTGGATCGGTTAAACCAACTAGTATCAGGAGACAGGTATGTTAGCAGTATTAGTCACATTGGTACGCACAATTCTACGTCGATATATTAATCATCTGAATCTTTTTAAAAAAATGTTTCATGTTCTTCATTATCACTTCTTCGTTTGTTGATATTTATTGTGAACAGAACAGAAGTAAACATTCTTGCAGCTTTATTTAATAAATAATCGCATTAGTCCAAAAATAGGAATTTATACATATTTGTATTTATCAGTTCTTTATATATGATGATAACACGTACATTAATTTCCATAAAAAATAACTAGGTAGGGAGAAAGGCAATAAGCAAATACAAGCTGAAAGAGGATATGAAGCATTCCCCTCAACAGTGCAAACCGACACTGATAGTCACCCCAGCATCAATGTCTACCAAGGTGTTAGCGCATACCGAAAGTGATGCAAGGCCTAGAATCGTCATAGATACTATCCCGTCAGATAACGCCACCCACAGAGGAGTACAGGCAACCATCCATGTAAGTATACGCTATAGCCTACTGGTAATCATAACACTCATTATGTAATGCATAATTATATCAAACACCTGCTGGACAATCAGGTTAATATGTAGCACACATCGGTAACGAACTTAATTGACGCGTAACATATAAAACATAAGTACAATATAACACATACGTAAAATTACACTCAGAATATTTGCCGTAACATATACCTTTCAGCAATGAGGAACCTGTTTACATTCAGTTTACTTATCATATAATATACTTATCGATAATGTACCACGTTGACAATCAGCATGCATACTATATAACACGCATCGGTACCAAACACCTAGTCACAATCAGCATGCATACTATATAACACGCATCGGTACCAAACACCTAGTCACAATCAGCATACTAAGTACACGTATAACTCATCTCGCTAATTTAATCGAGCACTTTCTAAAATAACTAGAAAAACAAAGTAAGGAATCGCTTATAGACGCAGAAAGCCATACAAGTAAACAGTTACTGCATCATACGGCCGTTTCATCAATTAAGGATTAGCAAATTATAATGAATAAAAAAATAATTATAGAAAATAATATTACTATGTTACATGAAAGCAAGTTGTTATGCAACAATTGTTCTAAATATTGATATATGTGTATTACATAGCAATTATCACATATACTATGCTTTATTTCATATTTTGTATTTGCCTTGGTTCCTCGATTTTTAAACAAAATGTCCAAACCAATTTTTACGATTCTCTCCTCATTTTAAATGAAAAGATGAGTTGCCTCGGAAACATGATTTTGATTTAATCATAATTTAATTACATGTGTTTTGCATGATGACATGGAAGGATATAGAGATCGCAACACATTTGGGCTGTGAGACTAAAACATCTTCTAGTCAGGTGACTACTAATGTGACGTCACTGTTTTGACTCTGACAACACTACTTCTGCTGTTCCAAGAAGGCACTTCACGAGCAGACTCTAGGAGCATGAAATGAATCAATAAAACATATCTACTCTTTTAAATTATAAATATAGGATGTTTTGCTGTAGGCCTATCATTCTGGCTTTATTGAATTTACCAGTATTGGTAACGAGTGTTAGAGGACCATAAGACCGTCTGCTAAGACAATAATGTATTTTCATGTATAATTTTACCACAAACTTTTTATATCCATGATTTGTTTTTTAGGAATCTTTGAAGATGTGGGACAAACGTCACATCATTGTGTCCAAATTACCAGGAAGTCATCGTATTAATAATCTGAGGGCAAAAAACAGTAAGGCTAAATATGTCTATTATCATTCACAAGTATCAAAGTTTTATATGTACAGCATCACACATCACGACTGTTACGTGTCGTCACATGACACCACTATACACGAGAGCTTAATTCTCCAAGGTATATCATTCATCTCAATTTAGTATTGTTCCTTCGGATTTGAAATTTGTTTCCGGCAATTGCCCATCCCCTACTTTCAGTTTTCTTTCTTAAAAAATAAAAATAAAATAAAAACGTCTTGGCTATTAATATCATTACTGTTCACTGTAAGTTGTTCAGACGAGTGTCTCAATTGCCTATTCTATTACCACCATTTAAAGATTTTCTTTGAGCCTGTTTGCGTGCTACCCCTCCATCTTGTTTGCGTTTGTCATAAAACAATGCCATGTTTATGGTACGCTTGCTCGATTCCTGTTGAAAACATGTCGGCGATTTCAAAATGTATGACACATTGTACCACTGAGTTGTGTGTAGATAGAGAGTCTTAGTACACTTGTTAAGGTTGTACAGCCACACACGAGGAGTTCGAAGTTGGCATTTTGATATGACATAAAGTTACTTGCCTAACTACTTTATCCAAGAGTTATACTAAAGAAATATACTTATTGGTTTTTTTTCTCATATAAAGACCCCGCCACAGGGGTTCAACATTGCTTTTAAAGCAAAGAGCTTTTCCACTACGCTATTGATCATGATATTTTTCATATACTCTTATTTTCACCAACACTACTTCGACTTATTCTGATATATTCTTACTCCCTCAGGGGGACCACAACTTATAACGTCTAGTATGAATATACAGAAAATAACACGGCTTGAATAGGACAAGTAATTTTCATTACATGTGCAGTTGTATACGGTAGAATAGTGATTGGACTAGCTACCCTAACAGTTATATCCATTGTTAGATAGAAAATTTATGGATATTGGCACAAGGACGAAACCGGAACTCAATCTTCACACATAAAAAAATAAAATAATTTAGGGTATATATAAACCAAAGAAACTTATAAAAAAAACACAAAAATTTACATTGCTATGAATTCATCGTTAATTGATACTTCAGAATCATACAAATGGTAATAATAAGGTTACCTAAAGCACATTTGATAATTGATCAAATGATCTTTACCTAATGTTTTATTACACATTCCTTAAAATAGAACTCTTACGCTTGCAATATACCACGAATTGCTAATCATCAGGGCCTATTGGTTAAGACCTGGTTATCTTTACAACAAAACTCAAAATTTAAATGTGGTACAAGTCTGTATATTTTCCAAAATACTGAAATTTAAAACTTAGCTTTCATGTATAAAAAATGTTGAGGGTAACAAACCTAAAAAACATATTTTGAAAATTTGCCTTAGCAACTAGTAAAGCTAGTTCTGATTTTAGAAAACCGGTCCCAGATATAGAAATATTTACTTACAGTATAAAGTTGTTGATCAGAGTGAGAGCATATCCAGTAATCTTAGTCCAGTGACCTCGATTTCCTTTGTCCATCTTGTCCGTCTTAATTCACTCTCTGTAAAGACATACAAACGTATAAACAACATACACCTGTATTTATATACGCCGTACTCTTGGATCTAACTTTCCCTAAATCAAGGATTTTTGATTCAATCAGTAAAACCATCATTAAAATCAGATACATAAGGGCTTATGGATCATCATGTAATGTCGAATGTTGTATTATACATTGCTTTTAAAAGGCGGTGTCGGTTGGTTTCAGGAATTGGCTATTGCATAAACATATATAAGTGATTTCGTCATTCTTTCTACCACGATTAAATAAATAAATATATAAATGATCAACTTTTAGGAATGTTTGAGTGCATCAATGTTTGAGTGATGGTTTAGCTGCGAGAACTATCTGTTTGGGTAAAATGTGCGCTTCCCGGAGTATGAAAATCACATTACCTATCAAAATTGTTATTATTTGCTCAATATATGCTCAAGGCGACGCATCTGGGTAAACATTAGAATACTTTCTCGATTTCTTTACGATCACACGATTACTTTTCATTTGATCAGTTGAAGAATATAGAAATCAAAATTGAACAAACGAGTGGACTAATCGCAAAATCAACCAAATAATCAAACATTTCAATTTTAATATGCACAAAAATGGAATGTCTCGTTCTGAAAAAATGCCGATATATATTAATACATTACAAACTTTAAAGCTTATACGGTACAACGCGAGAGTATGCAACACTGATATACAGCAAGTGTACGTAGTTCATGTGTGGAATTTTTTTTATCTGAAACGTCCCTTTGGAGAATTGATGACTCACTAACAATTTTGCGTGTGTTTTAAAAAGGCGTAAGAGAACGAGAGTTAAACTAAAGTACACATCGTGATCAAATACTAATGTGTTAGTACGGTCACATTGCATATGTTTTCAGTATTATTTCTTTTCTTTGTATGACGAAATTATTTGTATAAGGCATATCCCCGTCCTCAGATAAGTGTATTTTATATTTTAAGCCCACCGTCATCAAATGGTGGGCTAATCAAATCGCCTGTCGTTCGTTGTTCGTAGTGCGTCCGTCGTCCGATTCTTGTAATCTGTATTTCTCAAAACGTGACAGATTCTTCTTATATTGCATAGGAAGGTTCACCTTGGTCCCAAGTTGTACATGTTTTATTTTGAGTGATCATAAAACAAGATTACGGCTAGGCAGCCATCTTGAATTTTGATAGTTAAAACTATTAATAGATATTTCTCAAAAAGCACTTAACAGATAGTTATCAAATTCCTTGTGAAGGTTACTTTTGATCCGTTATTGTAAATGTATTATTTTGAGACTTGGCGCTGAATCATGGCCACTAGGTAGCCATGTTGGACCTTTGGAGAGTTCATTCTTGTTATTGCTATTACTCAAGAATGATCGAAAATCACCTTCTCCACGTACGCAAGGCATATTGCAATGATCAGTTATATTTCTTTTACATTAAGCACTATTCTTGGAAATACAACAAACTAACTTTGAAGGATGTCATTTATACTAGAGTACACAGCAGCGTGAAGTTAAGATCAAAAGTTACCTCAAGGTGCATTTACTGTTTACATGACTATCAAACAGATGAGAGAGACGATCTAACCGACACAGAACTTATGATGAGGAGGTAGGAAGGTGGGCGCCGAAATCCCTCTGGGATCTCTTGTTGTTATCAAAAAATCGTTTTATCGATGCATACAATTATATTGATTTCTTGACATTAACAATTCTGTAGTGGATATTCAAAACTCGGTTTTAAAATGTAATAAATAGTATAACGGCGGACGTACTCTTTGTTTATCTGGACAATGTGTTCCTATGAATACAGTGAAGCTTTGCTTTGTGAAACTTCGTAGTTCCGACTAGTTTATCTTAATGTACAGAGTGACTAAGACTCACACTTGCACGTTTGTATACAATAAAACCACATGGATTGTTATGCGAGTAATAAAAGCATCTTCATCGTGCCATATTATTTTAAAGCATCGATTTTGATTAATGGTTCCAGGTTCCTAACTAACTTGTTTTTGAATTAATTATGCAACTTTGTAAGTCACCGCCTTTTTATCTCTAAGGAACAAACTTCATCAAATTGGATAGCACCAAAGAAGAGGCCGAACCAGTTGATCCTCGAAAACCAGAGCCCACCGTCGATGAACAAGGTACCACTAACTCTTCGTTTCAATTGTTCACGAAGAACGACTACACCAGTTGAATAACAAATCAGACACTTACTTAAATATTTTAGAAATACTATGATATTTTATCTATTATTCTTGACCCTATATTGAATAACAAATCAGACACTTACTTAAATATTTTATAAATACTATGATATTTTATCTGTTATTCTTGACCCTAAATTTAATATCAGATAATTTTAGAGGGGACGTCAGTAATGTAAACCATTATATTTCTACATATCCTCTTACCTGTTTAAAATAAACTCGTTCAGTTTTGATTTCATTTTACTTATACCTATATATATATATGTCGTGGTTTTGTTCTCTTTTGGTCGAGAATGCGATAAACACTGAGGGAGGGGGCGGGATGCAAGTATTCTGTTTTAGAACATGCATGTGCCAGTCCAGGCAAAGTTTAAGTTCGGATATTCAACCCGATATGTTGAATCTTCAGCGTGTTTAAATCAGTTTAAAATGTATTAACTGTGTATTGGATTGGATTTTTTAATAAAAGGTAACCAAAGTAGCAGTCGGAGAACATCTGGTAAACCTAAGATCGATAAGGGAAAAGTACCTCTTCCTGTGTTAAAAATCAAAAACCTGAAACACCGGCCGACTATTGATGACCTCCCTAACATACGAGAAAAGGTAAGATCTGATACTATATCCAGGTTGCTTACATGTGTTAACCACCCGTTCATTACTCATATAAATATGTTCATATGGTACCATTTACCAATTATCTCGGGAAATACGATTAATAGTTTCTGCAAGATTATCATTTTCACCGTTGGCTGCGGAAACATAATACTATTCATACATATGTTTAAACGATGATATTTATTTCTCATTTGGCGGTTTCAAATCCTCTGTTTGAAGCATGAGTGGGCGATGTTTCTGCCACATAGGCAAGTAAAAGAAAAGTAACTGAATGTCCATCTATCTATCATTGAAAATAATACAACACAAAAATAAAAAAAATCCATAACTATATGTATATATACATAAAAAAGTACGATGATGAAATAGTTCCACAATTAGAATTATATATTTTAATTTTTATGTATGCTAAATAACAATCGCACGTATACTCATATACTATTCTTTCTAACGAAGCTTCATTTATATATGCAAATAAAATATTGTAAAAGTCACAATTAACAACAGTAAAAGATATGTGTTAACAGTAAAAGATATGTGTTATGCGTTCTACCAAACAACCATGTGATAGGCAACTTGAGCCAATACTGAGTAGTGAAAAAAAAGAATGTCAATCTATCTCGCATCATGCAAGATACTCCCTGTATTATACACTCTAGTCATGTAACCTTGCAGCTACATTCCTCTCACTTTCCTTATTTCTTTCTGTCTATCCTCTTTACATTCTCCTTCGATCACCAAGGCGACCCAAGCAATCAACGACTACTATCAGAACATGAGGAAAGCTACAGTTAAGGATGCCTTCACTAACTGGGATAAATTATATGCCGATACCATTCGTCCTAAAAAACTACTGGAAAATTTCAGGACAGTTTATCGTGCTTATTCACCACACAAGGAAGAAAACGCATTTGTTGTTTGTCCTTGGATGCCCGGCCCGTATCGTCACTTCCGGACTATATTGACAAACCGGGACGAAGGATCGCCGGATTTTCGGATGGAAAGAGTGTACAGGACTGGTCTAACTCCCGATTCAACTAACAAGCGACCATTTAGTCATTGATTATTAAAATAAACACACGACATTTTCCTTTAGTCCATATTCAACCGGAAATATAGCTATGGGATCATTTATATATACTCATTCATTCTTCTGTACCAGAACAATATTAAAACGTGAATTGCAACACAGAATATTAAGTTTGTTTATTTATTTACATAAAATATATTGCAGTTTGCATCCCTTGGCAAAAAGAAAATAACAATGTATTGGTTTCACGATTCTAAACACTTTCTTCATGAAATGCTTTTTTCATGAAATTTTGGCAAATTGTTCTCAAATTTAATCATTGATTGAATACACATTTCCCTAAGCATCAATACAATAATGAATGCAGCTCCAGCTTAGCCTTCAAACAATACTCATATGATATAAAGTTAACGTTTCACTAAATTGTATGTCTTTACAGTAAATCTTGTGTATTTCACATCTAGTCAAATACCAATATACTATACAGTTGAACCTCGTTATCTCGAAGTCCCCGTTTATTTCGAAGTATTTCTCCAGTCCCGGTCGAATCTCTTCTTCATCTTAGTAAATAAAACTCTGATAATTCGAACCCTGTAAAGTCGAAAAACTCGGATACTGCGAAGTAAGATATTGGTTTCAATAGTGTGAATCCAACATCATAACATAGTCTACTTAATAGTGTTCGATTTCATTTTGTCACTTATTAAATTTTTGATACAAATAGAAAAGTACATCATGTGTTTATGAACATCTTTCGTGAGTAGACTAGCATGAAATCAGTAAAAAGAATTTACGATAAAGCTTCAGACTGTAAAGTGTGCGTACTGTCAAAATCATGTTGTTCATAATAAAAAAAAAACTTCATCACTGTTGATCAAAAGTATTCTGTACTTACTGTGAGTCCGTTTAATGATTTGTACACCCACACAGATGACAATACAAACCGGAAAAATGTTCACAAAGTGTGGTCATGCATAAAAGAGTTCCACAGTTAAAATCACAACCTATGACAGCTTCATGGGTTCATGTTTTTACAGGAGCCAGCATGGCTTTGAAAGTCGATCAAGGACTTTCAGAACAATTCGATAATTGCTGTTGATTACATCGAGTTGAGTAGGTGTCAGGTGTCACATTTGACTTTAATGAATTAATGTGTTACATGTACGGTATACTATGTTTGGGTGTGTTTTCATTTACAGAATCGACTATGCGTACGATCCATTACAGTGATTTGTTCTAAACTTGCGCACTTTCATTTCCGCACTGTATAGTACGAGGACGGAGACAGCGGTATAATTTAACACTGCAACATTTAATCGCAAGGCCCGCCCATATCACATATTTGGTCCAACCGTTTGACTGCGTTAACTTACTCTCTTTTTGTATGCGTGTTTATTGCAAAATTACAAACCTGTATTACTTATATTGATTATGTATATCTTTCAATCAGTGATTATAAGCATTGGCTATTAATGAAATCAACAACTGTTAGTGCTATGTCCTAAAAGCAAATTTCGTGCTAAATATACAAACCCGGATAACTCAAAGTTCTTCCACGACTCAATCGACTTCGAGATAAAGAGATTTCGCTGTATATAGCTTCGAGTCACCCACACACATATTACATATCACATTCAGTGACTCACAAACGCATTGCATATCATATCCAGTTACTCACAAACATATAACATGTCATACCCAGTCACTCACAAACACATTACATACATGTATCATATCCAGTCACTCATAAACACATTAAATATCATATCCAGTCACTCACGAACATATAACATGTCATACCCAGTCACTGACAAACACATTACATACATGTATCATATCCAATCACTGATAAAAACATTACATATCATACCCAGTCACGGACAAACACATGACATATCATATCCAGTTAGTCACAAACACGATATATCATATCCTGTCACTGATAAACACATTACATATCATACCCAGTCACTGACAAACACATGACATATCATATCCAGTCACTCACAAACACATCACATGTCATATCCAGTCACTGATAAACACATTACATACCATGCCTAGTCACTCACAAACACATGACATATCATGTCCAGTCACTCACAAACACATGACATTTCATATCCAGTCACTGACTGATAAACACTAAACATGTCATTTCCAGTCACTGATAAACACATGACATTTCATATCCAGTCACTGACTGATAAACACTAAACATATCATATCCAGTCACTGACTGATAAACACTAAACATATCGTATCCAGTCACTGACTGATAAACACTTAACATATCATATCCAGTCACTGACTGATAAACACTAAACATATCATATCCAGTCACTGACTGATAAACACTAAACATATCATATCCAGTCACTCACTAACACGATATATCATATCCAGCCACTGAAAACCACATCACATGTCATATCCAGTCACTGATAAACATATTACATATAATATCCAGTCACCCACAAACACATTACATATCATATCCAGTCACTTAATAACATATTACATATCATACCCAGTCACTGACAAACACATTACATGTCATATCCAGTTACCAACAAACACATTATATATCATATCCAGTTACCCACAAACACATTACATTTCATATCCAGTCACTCACAAACACATTTCATATCATATCCAGTCACTCAAAACAAAATTATATATCATATCCAGTCACTCAAAACCAAATTCCATATCATACCCAGTCACTGAACAAACACATAACATATCATATCCAGTTACGGCACGGCAAATGTCCCACTTCAAATCACAAAATGTTCAAAACAACAAAATGCTCACCAACTTGTCACACTTCTGAAAAGTCTGTCCACCATGCCAATTACATAACTTATGTTATCCAGTCACTCACAAACACATTGTATATCATATCCAGTCACTCAAAACCAAATTACATATCATACCCAGTCACTGACAAACACATAACATATCATATCAAGTTACCCACAGACACATTACATATACTATCCAGTCACTCACAAACACATTACAAATAATATCCAGTCACTCACAAACACATTGCAAATCGTATCCAGTTACTCAAAATCAAATAACATATCATATCCAGTCATTCAAAACCAAATAACATATCATACCCAGTCACTGACAAACACATTACATATAATATCCAGTCACTCACAAACACATGATATATTATATCCATTCACTGATAAACACATCACATGTCATATCCAGTCACTTACTAACACATTACATATCATACCCAGTCACTCAAAACCAAATTATATATCATACTCAGTTATCCACAAACACATTACATATCTTATCCAGTCACTCAAAACCAAATTATATATCATACTCAGTCACTGGAAAACACATTACATATCATACCCAGTCACTGAAAAACACATTACATATCATATCCAGTTACCCACAAACACATTACATATAATATCATGTCACTCACAACACATTGCATATCATATCCAGTCACTCAAAACCAAATTATATATCATATCCAGTCACTCAAAACCAAATTACATATCATACCCAGTTATCCACAAATACATTACATATCTTATCCAGTCACTCACAAACACATTGCTTACCATGCCCAGTCACTCACAAACACATCACATGTCATATCCAGTCACTTACT